TATTGACGATTAAGAGGTTATAAAACATATTGGTGCGGGAAAAAAAAAGCAGAAAAAAAAACTTTATGATTACGAATTTCAGTGGCGTTAGACCTAGGAATTTCTTTGAGTTGTCTAAATCTTTAAATTATTATATGACTTATCTGGCTGAACTACGCGTACCTGATTCTCATTTTGGTGAGATACGTAGGCAACCCTTCTTGGGTTCGATATTATCTTTTTTTTTAAAAAAAAAATTATAAATAGTTTGTGCATATTTTTCAAGTCATATCTGGCCGAACTACGCGTACCTGATTCTCATGTTAATGAGATACGTAGGCAACCCTTCTTGGGTTCAGTATTATCTTTAAAAAAAATAGTTTGTGCATATTTTCTAGTCATATCCGCATGAACTACGCACACCTGATTCTCACGTTAATGAGATACGTAGGTAGTCCTTCTCGGGTTCGGTAATCATTCTTTCAAAAAAAATTGTTTGTACATACCATAAGAGTCATGTCTTCAGCTCGGTTGGGAGCTATGTGGTTAAGAGTATGTAAATATATTCGATATGATTGAACAGACTGACTTTGCGGTAAACTATAGATTCTCGTGGTACCTCTTATCTGTACTTTTGTGATGCTTGAAAATTCTCTTGCATGCAATCAAGATAAGAATAAAACTAACCTTATGTTTCATGTGCATTGTGTGGTGAGATTTTGATCAAAGTTCAATTGTGTTACACTGTTGATCTAGAACTTGACCTGAATGTTTTTCGAGGCGAAATCATTAATAATGTTTGGTTTGAGAAAGGATTGTAGGCCTTTTTGATCCGGTTGTGCCTTTCAAAGCCTACAAAATTACATTAATCCCTAGCTTTCCCATTTTGAGCCTGAAACCTTCATTTGGACAACCACATCTTAATCATTACCCTTTTGAGTGCTTACGAGCACTATCCTCTCTTGGCCCAACCTTCTTGAGTACACAAAGAATGTGCAAATTATAAAAGGAGATCAATGTTTGAAATTTCAAAAAGCAAAGATATTGAGTCTCTCAAAATCAAGGAAGCAAAGACTCTAGAGAAAAAGAGAAAAAAAAAAGTGGAAGAAATAAAGAAAGGCAAAAAATTTCTTTACAGGACAAGTGAAAGGTTGGAAGGAAAATATTCCAACAAAAAGGAAAATTATTATAATGAAGAAGTGAAAAAGCTCAAAAAAAAAAAAGCTCAGAAGAAAAAAAAAGAAGGGAAGGGAAAAACCTTAAAAATGAGAATTCAAAAGAATTTGAGAGGGCATAGAATAATGAAGAGGATCTGACGCCAAAGGCGTACCAATCATTAAGAGCACAAATTCTGTGTGACGCTCAAGGAGGAATTCAGTCACTTTTACTTCAAATAAATATCCTATCCATCCCTAAGCCTACGTTACAAGCCAATGACAAGTCCTACATGATTTCATTCCAAATGTTCTCACATTAGTGGAGATTTACATAAGGGTGAAGCATATGATATCACAGTTGTGTGCATTGAACATTCTTGTGAGTGTGAGTGCATTTTGAAAATGTCCTATAATCAAATGTTTCAAATATGTGTGAAATAGGACTAGCCTTTGTCGTGAGTGCACTTGAAACATGAGGATTGATACAATTCAAAACCTTTGTTTGAAACAAAATGAACGGATCTTGTCAATCCTTAAGTATATTTGAGATACCACTTGAAGCTGTAAGAATTACCTTAATTCAATCTTTTAAAAAAAAAAGAATGGGAGATTTACCTGCAATCCTAACTGTTGGTATCAATGTGGTGAAGATTTGACTATCTCCTCACATTTTTTATTTTGAAAAAAAAAGAGAAAAAAGAAAAGAAAAAATTGTCTTTTGAGCTGTTCATTATAAAAGGTGTCATTAAGTTAATCTTATATATGTGAGACGCCTATTTTACTTCATTGGGTTGTCCATACCCAAAATGTGTTATGTCTTATTTTAGGCTTTGAATATAGCAAGGAATACCATTTGCATATTCCATCATGTTCATATTGTGCATTTTTTACTGATAATCTTTCAGATTCTTTGCAGTACTCATCATCCACAAGATTGGAATTACATTTGACCTGATTCCTGCCTCGACAGGATATGTAGGCGCCACGATGGCACGGTCATATACCTAGTGTAATTATTACTTTTCATTAGAATAAAAATCGGGACAGAATTTTTGAAGATATTTCAAAAATTCACATTACAGATAGTCAACAAGTCAAGATTGAAGATCATTTTGAGATGTGCCAAAATTCTAACTGGGACAGAATTTTGAGAAAGACCTCAAAATTCTGATAAGTACTGCCAGAAGCTTGATAACAACTACAAAGAGCATGCATCACAATTTAATTCATGCATTCTTAGTTAATATTCATGCATTGAGAGTCAATTCATGCATCCCTAGTTGATATTCATGCATTGAGAGTCAATTCATGTATCACGAGTTAATATTCATGCATTGCGAGTTAATCTTTATGCATCGAGAGTCAATTCATGCATCGCGAGTTAATTCATACATCATTAGTTAATTCATGCATAGAGAGAAAATTCATGCATCGCGAGAAGATTTCATACCTCGTAGAAATGTATGCATCGCGAGAAGATCTCATACATCGCAGAAAATTCATGCATAGCGAGAAAATTTCATACCTCGCAGAAAATTCATGCATCGAGAGTTAATATTCATGCATCGAGAGTCAATTCATGCATCACTAGTTAATATTCATGCATCCCTAGTTGATATTCATGCATTGAGATTCAATTCATGCATCGCGAGTTAATATTCATGCATTGTGAGTTAATATTCATGCATCGAGAGTCGATTCATGCATCGCGAGTTAATTCACGCATAGAGAGAAAATTCATGCATCGCGAGAAGATTTCATACCTCGCAGAAATGTATGCATCGCAAGAAGATTTCATACCTTGCGGAATTCATGCATCACTAGTTAATTCATGCATCGAGAGTTAATTCATGCATAGCGAGAAGATCTCATACCTCGCAGTTAATTCATGCATCGCGAGAAGATTCCATACCTCGCAGAAAATTCATGCATAGCTAGAAGATTTCATACCTCGCAGAAAATTCATGCATCGCGAGAAGATTTCATACCTCGCCAGAAAATTCATGCATCGCGAGAAGATTCCATACCTCGCAGAAAATTCATGCATTGCGAGAAGATTTCATACCTCGCAGAAAATTCATGTATCGCGAGAAGATTTCATACCTTGTAAAAATTCATGCATCGCGAGAAGATCTCATACCTCGCAGAAGATTCATGCATCACGAGAAGATCTCATACCTCGCAGAAAATTCATGCATCGCGAGAAGATCTGATATCTCGCAGAAAATTCATGTATCGCGAGAAGATTTCATACCTCGCAGAAAATTCATGCATCGCGAGAAGATCTCATACCTCGCAGAAAATTCATGCATCGCGAGAAGATCTTATACCTCACAGAAAATTCATGCGTCGCGAGAAGATCTCATACCTCGCAGAAAATTCAGGCATCGCGAGAAGATTCCATACCTCGCAGATAATTCCATTCATCGCGAGAAGATTTCATACCTCGCAGAAAATTCATGCATCACTAGTTAATTCATGCATCGAGAGTTAATTCATGCATTGCGAGTTAATATTCATGCATCGCGAATTAATATTCATGCATTGCGAGAAGATTTCATACGTCGCCGAAATCCCAGAGACACACTTATATTATACTAAGGTTACCCCCCTGAACTTATTTTTAATGTAATTTTCTACCCCTTTTTAGCCTACGTGGCACTAGTTCGAAAAAAAAGTCAACCATCGTTGGGCCCACAAGATAGTGCCATGTAAGCTAAAAAGGGGTAAACAATTATTAATAAAATAAGTTCAGGGAGGTAACAGGACCTTAGTATAGTATACGTGTGTCTCTGAGATTTCGGGCATAGGTTGAGGGGGTACTTGGGAATTACCCCTAAATATAAAATTAATCTAAAGTTTGTTCTCACTCCCTTTCGGTTTATATAATTTTAATTTAACTTTTACATGAATATATTTTTAATAGAAAAAATACTTTTAAAACTTGTGGTCTAAAACAAACCATAGGTGTTCATATAACTATAAATCATCTTAATAAGAATGAAATGAATATTTTAAAGTCAAAATATTATTTAAATATATAATCATTCTTTTGAAACTGACTACAAAGAAAAATATGTCACATAAATTAAAGTAAAATTTTCATAAGTTTTCATAGTGTAAAGAGTTAATTACATTATATCGCCTTTTTTTTTAAATTACAAAATTTTCTTAGAATTAAATAATTTCATATAAATCAGCAGACATGTTGTTGATACATTGATCATGATAAATTGCTATTGAGAAAACTTGCAGACACATAACTCATGGATGAATCTGGGAGGGGTTTATTCGAGAGAGAATATGAATGTATCCGGGAGGGGAGAAACATATCCAAGAGAAAATATGAATGTATTCAAGATGGGATAAAGATGTATTCAAGAGAGGACAGGAATGTATCTGAGAGAAAATTTTCGTAGTTTTTTTAAATAGTAGAAAATTTTAGAAACTGTAATAAAATAAGATATTAATATATATAATTATTTTTAACTTAAAATTAAAAAAAAATTAATTATATTAGGCCCGTGAACAGACCTTCAATTATCTAGTATATAATATATTTTCGATTATATATATATATATATTATTTTTATTTTTGCAATTTTACACTGTGAGATACTTCAACTATGATTTGTCTAGATACAATGTTAACTTATAAATATCTTTTCTCAATTAAACTTTAAATAATATTCTTTTTTTAATATCAAGTATTTCATGTTTAAACACATACTTTATATTATTTCTAAGAATATTATAATAAACATATATGGGAAGTACTTAATTGATTTATACTAAATATTGACCTATAATATCCTAGTTGGAATTAGAGAAAATATATCAAAGAACTAAATATTTTTCACTCCACCACTATATATTGGCTACATACTTTTTACATTCTCTTTATTCTTTCTTTGGCTTTGTCCAATTCCAATACTTTTTCTTAAGAGGTATTCACAAATTTCTTCAATGTTGTTTTTTCCCTCTTTCTCTTCTATGTTTTTTCTTGATTTGTTTAAATGATTTTTTAGATTCTATAATTTTGAGTTATTAATTTTGTTGTTATCATCGCTATTTTATCTCTTTATCAGTTCTTAAATCTGCAACACTATTTTAAAAAAAATAAAAATTCGATGACGATTTTAACTTTTATCAAGCCTAAAAGGGGGGGAATGTGATTTTCTTTTGTTGTTCTTTTGTACTTTCCATATAGAATTTAAGATCAAACCTTTAAAGAATGTTTTTTGTCAATAATTAATATACATTTATTAATTTTGTAGGTTCAATGATTCAGATTTATTAAAGTTGTTGTGTTTTATTCCATTTGCTAATTTTTGAACTTGTCATACCCTCTTTCAAGATTTGATTGTTTTTTTAAAAAAAATTCTTCTTAAAAGTTGTCCTTTTCTTTATCTTTTTATTGTTGTTGTAATTTCCCTTTAGATTAGACCTTCTATGTGAATTTAAGTGTATAAATTATTATTAATTTTTTGCTTTAAGGATATCCTATTTTATGCTTTGAAATCATAATTTTTGAAGGTTGTTTGCTAAATGAATTGATAATAGATTTAAGATTAATCTTTTCTTGGTTAGGTTTATACATACAAATAAAAATGCTTAGATCTTGGATTGCTAGATATTTTTTCAATTGTTTGACTGTATCTTATAAAATATATCACTTCTAATATTAATTTAATTATCATTTAATAAGTTAATGATAGATCTATGTTTCAAATATATTTTTGATGATTAATTATGATTGAATACTTTTTATTATTTTTTTTTGTTTTATTTATTTATTATTATTATAGAAGGGTCAAAATAGATTTTGTTTTGACATAATCTTTTTGAATGATTAATTTTTAAGGTTAAAATCATGAGCTTAGTTATCTTGGGATTGCAAATATTAATTTGATATAATTTAGATGCTCCTTAAACTATCCATTTGCATTTATAACTTTTTCCTTTTTGTTTATAGTGTATCATTTTTTTACTAGTATAACTTGACTATTTTTTATTATATTTTTTTTTTATCTATATATTAAAACTAAATCTAATTAACCCTCTATTCATTTGATCTTATTGTAGTGCAAAAATGGCTACTCATTCAACAGGACATGCTGCTGAAAAAGTTGCCAAAGCTTTTGTGGCTCAATACTATAACATTTTACAAACCCGAATCGACCAATCGTATCGATTCTACAAGGAAAAAAGTATTCTAAGTTGGCCATCGTCCGATGGTGAAATTATGTCTGTCACAACTTCTGATGTATGTATTCTAACGGAGAATCTTAATAGTTCAGTTGGTTGACTATAAATTTTTTTTGTCACCTAAAGTTTCAATGTTTTTAACTTTGAATAAAATGTTTTTTCTATTTTTTTTTAATTTTTGCTAAACATTTTTCTAATTTTAGGGCATAAGTGATTTTATCATGTCATCACACTTCAAGGGTAGCAAAGTTGAAGTCAAAAATGTTGACTCTCAATCATCTGTTGCTGGAGGTGTTTTGGTGATAATTATGGCTTACTTAATTGGGCAAGACAAGTCTAGAAAAAGGTTTTCTCAAACTTTTTTTCTTGCTCCACAAGAGACAGGGTACTATGTGTGGAACGATATTTTTAGATTTATTGGTGAAGAAGAAAAATCTTCAACAATTGTTGAGGAAAATGGTTCAATTGATACTCCTTTAGGTATGTCTTATAATCGCGATGACCTGATTGTATAAAATATTTTATTTGTTAGCGCATGGAATTTTAACTGTATAGATTTGTTTTCCATTTGGATTATTAGCTATTCAGAACAATGCTGAAAACAACGTTCAGAGCAAAGCTGAAAATAACGTTCAGAGTAAAGCTGAAAACAATGTTCAGAGCAAAGCTGAAAACAACGTTCAGAGCAAAGCTGAAAACAATGTTAATGATAAAGTTGACCAGAAGCCTTCAAGCCCAAAAGAACGAGAACAAAAAAAGAAGGACCCTGTGGGGCCCGCCATCGTTGAGAACGAGGCTCCAAAAATTACCTATGCTTCAATGGTTAGTAGTACTTTTATGAATCGTTTGATTCACATGCTAGTTATGTAAAAATCATAAAAACTTTTTTAAATTGTAATTTTACCTCTGAAGCTTTGTCTAATATATATTTTAATTCGAAATATTTTCTATAGATAAAGCAAGGTAGGTCCTCGCCACCAAAAAATGGTGGCCTCTTATCGGCTCCTAAAAAGCCGCAACCCAACAACTTGGTGAAGTCTAGTTCGACTGGTGTGTTGAAAGTTGCAAGTACTCATTCAATCAAAGTTGCGCGAGACAATTATGATAATGACATTGAATGTAAATTTTTATTGTTTTAGTCAAATAATTGATGAAATTTTTATCATATTAAGTGAATTATTGAGTTACTCGTTTATATTTTACAGATAAATCGATATTTGTTGGAGGATTACTACCCAACACAACAAAAAATGATTTATATGCTGTTGTTAAAGAGTTTGGACCCCTTCACATTCAAGATGTTCAACTAAAAGCTTATGAGGCATATCAGGTATATATATGTATCACTTTCATTTTATTTTTCGATTTATCATTTATTTAGAACTTATTTTTTGTTTAATGATTAAGTATTTATATATATTGAACTCTTTTTTTAATGTAGGATGGATATTGTTGTGGTTTTGTGCATTTCCAAGATGCAATTTCTGCTCAAAAGGCTGTCTATGTAATGAATTTTCCACATTTTAATCTTCAAAAATATTTATCAGTTTAAAGTTTATTGATCGTCTTATAATGTTTATCTTTTTTCTTTAATGTTCGATTCAAGACTCATCACATTATGGTGAAGGGCAAACGAGCTTACATGAGATACAAGAGACATAACAAAGGTACTTATATATGTGTGTGTTTGTCGTTTTATTCTGTTATAATATAAGCATCAATTATTGATTTCACAGTTTGAACTGATGAAATCGATAACCTATAGGTCATAGAGATGATTTTACTATTACTTCAAGACTTACTTTCTTTATTATATCGTAATTTTTTTCAGTTCACGGAGATAGGGCAAATTCTCCATCGGAGAGAGGTGAGTTTCAAGGTGGTCGACGTTCGAGGAGCCGGCCTCAAAGTTCTGATGGACGTTGGGGAGAAGGTTACCAACAAAAGTACTATAATTAGTGTTGTTTTAAGCTAAATTAATTATATCAAATCTTGTTATGGTTTTATTGCATGTTCATGTTGAAGGTACAATATTTGGTGTTTGGATGGTTTTAAAAATTAATACTTCAACTTTATAGATTTTTATATCTATATAGTTTCAACTCTTTTTGAAGTTTCTTCAATAGTTTACTGTATATTGTATGTGACTTTTGTTTAGGTCCATTATTATTTCTGAGATCCAGATATTATTACCTAGGTTCCTAAATTTAGAAGGAACTAAAATGTAGCTAGTATTATTGAGAGTCAACAGGGGGAGGGTGAATTAAAACTTCCTTTAGTCGACTTCCTATAGTAGTCAGTCAACTTACATAAACATTAGTAAAACAAATATATAGAAATAGTAAAATGCAGTAAGTAAATAACACAGAGAGTTTTTATACTGGTTCGAAACACCGATGTGGTGCCTACGTCCAGTCCCCCTGGGATACAAGGGTTTCTTAAGAGCTTTGAAGTGAACTATAGTAGTACATAGTTTCTGTGATTTGATCATGTTTGATGTGCAAATCATATTGCTACCTTGACACTACCACTATTTGTAAACCTACACTCAGATTCTTTCTTTTTCTTTTCTTTTCAATTGTACCATTCACGTGTTTACAAAGCTTTAGGAACGATAAAAGAAGGTTGTACTATAAGCTCAAGTGAAATTGCGTACTTCACACTTAAGTCTGGGGGTAGTTTATACATGCATAGACCCGTGCTCTGGTAAGGAATAACACAAGGAGTATTTATCTCAATCAAGGATAATTGAGAGATTACTTAATTGAGGCGATTTGTTGATCCATGTCCATATTAAATATGTGCATGGTAAATCACTTCTCTATCCTTCTTGGCTTGGCCGGCTTGATTCTTTTCTTGTCTGGTCATCAGATCTCGAATCTTCGGCTTGATTCACGTCTCTTCCTTTTCTTGATAACTTGATTCTATGTTAGGCTTTGATTTGCTAATCTCTTGATTTTGTCCTGTCAATCAAGGTATGCTTGATTGAGCTATTTGTTGGATTTGGGGCTATTTGTTTATTGATTCTGATTCCTTTAAATTAAGGTTTTTCTTTCTAACAATTTCTATAATGATCAACCATATATTTCTTTCCATCTTGGTGTTGTCTGCATGGATCATTTCTTTTTTTATTTAGTGGCCTCCGAAAATTATGAGTAAGGTGTTAAATGTCTATTATCAAAATCAACCAACTCTAAGAGACCACATACTTGTGCTTCTCCAGAACCTTTGCAAGGGGGCGAGGTTTCTTCGAAGTCTTACATTTTGAGGTAAATGCTCTCTTCTTTGAGGAAACAGGCGGGGAAGCCATTGATCCTTTAGAAGAATCTCAGGAAAGGGACAAGATGTCCACTTCAAAAGAAGTTGAAGGGGCAAAGGGTATTCGAGAAGCCATGGAGCGAGTTCTAGTCATGTTAGGTTGATGAAGAGAGAAGAGAAGAGGGAGAAGAAATGTCTTTGAAAGGAAGGGAGGAGTCAGAAAGGAAAATAAAGAGAACACATTAAATGCATAATGAATATAAGTTAATTAAAACATGTAATACCAAAGCTGTTTTTGAGGAAACAAAATATCTCTTCAAGTAGAGGTTTTGTAAAAATATCAGCTAATTGATTCTTAAAATCTATGAATTTCAACAAAAAATCATCATTTTCAATGTGATCACAAATAAAATGATGTTTGATATCAATATGTTTAACCCTGGAATGATGCACATTATATTTAGAGAGACTAATATCACTATTATTATCACAAAAATCGGAATAACTTAATAAGAGAGAGAATTGAGTACCACAACTTCCAATGGCTAGATATACAGATTCAGTAGTAGATAATTAAAGCAACCGAGGTTTGTTTCTTGTTGTGCCATGAGACTAGGGATTGTCCAAGATTTGGCATGTTCCACTTGTATTCTTTCAGTCATTTTTGTCACCTGAAAAGTTAGCATCTGAGTATCCAATTAAATCAAAATTAGACGAGTGAGGGTACCATAGCCCTAATTTAGTGGTGCCAATCAAGTAGCGAATACTTTGCTTTGCTGCAGTAAAATGTGATTCCTTCGGGTAGCCTAAAATTTCGCACATTTGCATACATGTACATGATGGCTAGTCAACTAGTGGTGAGATATAGTAGTGAGCCAACCATTCGTCTATACATTTTTTCATCCACATCTTTCCTGGGTTCATCTTTTTCAAGCCATGTAGAAGAACTCATCCGGGTTCCAAAAGTTTTTCCTTTTTTGAGTCCAAATTTCTTTATTAGCTCCTTTATGTACTTGGTTTGACTAATGAAAGTTTCATTAGTTGACTGTTTGATTCGTACTCCGAGGAAGAATGTGAATTCTCCTATTAGACTTATTTCAAATTCTACCTTTCATTAATTTGCAAAATTCTCACACAAAGAAGGATTAGAACTTCCAAAAATAATATCATCAACATAAATTTCAGCTATAAGAATATATAAACTAGTTCTTTGAATGAAAAGAGTTGTGTCAATTTTACCCCTTTGGAAATTATTTTGAAGTAAAAAAGTGATTAATCCTATCTAATTAGGCTTTTGGAGCTTGTTTGAAACCATAAAGAGCTTTGAAATTTGTATTTAATCAGGACAAGAAAGATTTTCAAAATCGAGGAGTTGTTTGACAAAAACTTCATTTTTTACAAACCATTTAAAAATACACGTTTTACATTCATTTGAAAAAGTTTAAAGCGCTTACAACATGCATATGCGAGCAAAATTTGAATAGATTCTAAACTTGCCATGGAAGCAAAAGTTTCATCGTAATCAATACCTTCTTGTCGTGAGTATCCTTGAGAAACTAATCTTGCTTTGTTGGGAATACATTTTCCATGTTTATCCAGTTTATTCCAAAACACCCATTTGGTTCCAATTACTGAGCAATTCTTTGGTCTTTCGATAAGAGTACGTATTTTGTTTCTTTCGAACTGATCAAGCTCTTCTCTCATTGCTTGTACCTATGACTCGTCTACCATAGTTTCATTTACTCGCTTGGATTCCATTTAAGATATAAGAGCCACAGAAGTTTGTTTTCTGAGGGAAGATCGTATCTGGATTTTGTCATCAGGTTTCCCGAGAATGGAGTTCTAAGGGTAACTGACGTTGTCTCCATTCTCTTGAAATATTGGCTTTGTCGGCTGGGGTAGTCGACTCCACCTCTGCAGTAGTGACTCTTCAGTATTAATTTCAGTGTTGACGATTGATGTACTTTTCGTTGGATTGGGAGAAGTAATTCCATTGTCACCGCTTCAACTTCATGTACTCTTGGATTAATGTCATCAAATACCACATGTACAAATTCTTCAACACTTCAAGTTCATTTCTTAAAAACATAAAAAGCCCTGCTAATAGGAGCATAACCTAGCAAGATACCTGAAAGAGTTGGTTTTGGTTCTTGTGGAATCAAACTAAATGGAAGATGAATTAATATGAATATTTGGTAGGAAGATAATTAGTACAAAATACAAGTCAAAGATTGTATCTTGGTAGGTGAAAGTTAGGCAAACCATAAAATGGTTTGCTATCTTAACCTTGACAATTTTGACACATAGTGATGTCATGGATGACATCAATAGGATGAATTTATTCCTATAAATAGGTAGCTCTTAATTCATTTTCAAATCATCCTTTCACTTGCCTTCTCACCTTCTAAGGCATTGTGTTCTCTCTCTTGTAGTATTTCACTTATATTCCTTTTATAGTGAAATAAATATCGGTGCAGTTGTTCTTTGGAGGACGTAGGATCATTTTGATCCGAACCACATTAAATATTGTTGTTCTTCCTTGTTCTTTAGTTTCACGTTTCCGCTAACAATACCTTCATCGCTTCTTGGATCAAACTTACCAAGATTATTCCTACCGATATTGTGGATGAAACATTATCACCCAAAGGGGTGGAAATAGATTATGTTTGGTTTCTTACCTCTCCATATTCATACGGAGTCTTCTTTAGTATAGGTCTGATTAACACCTGTTAAGAATATGACAAGCAATACTTACGACTTCTGTACAAAAATGATAAGGTAGACTTCGATCTAGAAACATTGTTCTTGTTGTATCTTGTAGTGAACAATTTTTCCTTTCTACTACTCCGTCTTGTTGAGGTGATCTGGGTGAAAAGAAATTTTAAGTAAACCGTTTTGAGCATAAAATTCTTCAAAGACCTTATTCTCAAAGTCACCACCATGATCACTATGGATAGTTGTAATGAAATATTATGCCTCTAATTGAACTTTTCTACAAAATACTTCAAACTTAGCAAAAGCTTCATTTTTACGAGTTAGAAAAATTACCCATGTAAACCTTGAGAAGTCATCAACAATTACAAAAGCATATCTTTTAACTCTAATGTTGGTAGTTCGAGTAGGACCAAACACATCTATATGATGAAGTTGTAGGGGTTTAGATATACTTACAATATTTTTTCTTCGAAGGATGAACAAGTTTGCTTACCCATTTGGCATGCATCACAAATATGATCTTTCTCAAACTTTTGTTTTGGCAGACCAGTGACTAGTTCGAGTCTAGAATGTTTTTCAAAATCATACATACTTGTGTGTCCAAGCTTCTGATGCCATAGCCAAGGATCACTTGAAACTGCAGTAAGACAAGTAAGAGATGTAAAATCAATATTATTTAAAACATATATATATATATATATATATATATATATATATTATTAACTCAATCTCCTACAAGAGTTTAGTTTTTTCTCAGAATGTTTGATGATGTAGTTGGTTGTGTTGAAAGTAACTTGAAATCCAGAATAACATAGTTGACTAATGTTAAGAAGGTTATGTTTGAGTCCCTCAACCAGATACACTTCAACTAGATTGTCTGATGAACTGAGTGTAATAGTCCTGACTCCGATTACTTCCCGTTTAACATTGTCTACAAATATGACACAACATCCATCCATTCTTTTTATAGTTTTGAAGTTTTCTTTCTTTTCTCACATATGTCTGGGCGTAAATGTCGTGTACCCACATTCTTTTTCTATAAGTTTTCTTGGATTTCTCCTGCAAAACAATAAGATTAGTTTCTTTTAGGTACCCAAAAATTTTTGGATTCTTGATGATTAGAAACTTTTGATCTCCAAATTCATTTTCTAGAAGAAAAATTTCTACAATTAAAAGATTTGTGACCAAGATCACCATAAGTGTAACAAGTAATTTTAGTAGGAATTTTAGGAGAGTAGGAGTTAGAAGCTATTTGATAATGGTAACTATGATTGGAAGATTTTCTTCTATAGAGCGTAGTTCTGTTAAATCGGATAAAACTATGAATTGGAGATTTCTGATGTTGTTCAATTGCATTTTGACTTCCTCTAGCTCTTTTGTTAGTAAATCGTCTTCAATCTAACTTACTTTGAGAAAAATCTGCCTATCTTTTTTTTCTTGAGCAATTTTATTCTATTCGTCAATAACCTTTTGTAATTCATCGCAATTATGTCCAAAGAATTTTGTAAGTCGTTACAATTAGGGCAATTAAAAGGTCTTATGTCACTTGTTTCATCTCTTTTCATGAAACATAGATTGATCATTTCATCATGATCATCGTCGTTTCTTTCTCCTTGACCCTATGCTTCGAGACTTGTTGAATCTTCATTTCTTCGATTGTTTCATCTTCTCCATTCTAGGCAGGTTTGTTTGATGTGTCCTGGCTTTCCACAGTAGTAACATCGATCATATTTCTTTTGAAATCATTGTTCTTAAAACTCCTGTTGAGATCTCTATCTTCTTTATCTAAGCATTTATCTCGCTCCTCAATTTATAAGGGCCATTCATTCGTCTCGATTTTCATTGACTTCTCTAGTTGTCTCAACCGTAAGTGCCACAATCTTATTTTTATCATCTTTCTTGTACCTTTTAATATGATTATGTTCATAAGCCATCAAGTTTCCTCGAAGTTCATTATACGTCATTTTCTATAGAACTCCATCTTCAAGAGTGACAACTTTAGTTTCCCAAGCTCCGGGAAGACTTTCTAACAAGTTTTCTGACTTGGAGTCCATTTGAATATAACATTTCAAGTGATTTGAGTTCAAAGACAATTTTACTGCATCTCGAGAAAATGGCTTCTACATTTTCATCTTCAGCCATTTTATACAATTCATATTCATTTACAAGTGAATTGTCCGAGCTTTTTTCACCTTGGTAGTTCCTTCATAAGTTACTTCTAGTTTGTCTCACATTTCTTTCGCAGTTTCACATGTTTATATCTTGTCATAATTAGCTCTGCTCATTACACAATATAACAAACTTATAGCTCTAGCATTAGTTTGAACTATCTTTTGTTGTTACTTTGTGATATTGAGTGATTCAGGATCAAATGGCTTCTCAGTGCCATCTTTTTCGGTAAATTCATAAATAGGCTTTGGGCCCTTTTTGATCACTATCCATGTTTGATGATCATTTGAAGAGACAAAGATTTTGAATTTGTCTTCCCAGTGAGAGCAATGTTGTCGATTGAAGTATGGTGGTCGATGTGAAAGAATGATCATCTTGAAGTAGAGTACCAGGAATTTGATAGAGTGTCATTGAATCTTTGCTCACATATAGTTAAACACTTAATTAGGGAGACCTGTTACGAAACCAATTAAAAGTCAAGAGAAGGGGAGTGAACTAAAATTTTCTTCAATCGACTTTCTGTAGTAGCCAATCGACTTACCTGCATGTTCGTAAAACAGATATATATATATAGTGTTGCAGGTCTTGCTACTACTTTGTTCCACAAGGCCCCGTTACGCGCCTTCCATATATGGTATATGAGTGCAGCTAAAATTGCTTTGATTATTGTTCTGCAATACCCCCTTTAGCTTTCCTTGCAATTCTCCTCCATATTCCTTCAATACTTGTGTTGTTGATCTCTATCTTCAACCAATCAAGTACCCCTCTCAAGCATTCCTTTGAAAATACACATTCAAAGAATAAGTGATCAATGCTTTCTGGACTACTTCCACACAATAAACCCTCTTTATCTTGACATATTTCCATTTTCGAAAGTCTATCTCTAGTTAGTAATTTTCCTTACAAGAGCACGGGTCTATGCATATGTAAACTACCCCCAGACTTAAGTGTGAAGTACACAACTTCACTTGAACTTATAGTACAACCTTCTTTTATCTTTCATAAATCTTTGTAAACACGAGAATGGTACAACTTATACGAAAAGAAAAGGAAAAAATCTGAGTGTAGGTTTAAAAGAGAGGTAGTGTCAAGGTAGCAATCTGATTTGCATATCAGACAGGATCGAATCGCAGAAACTCTGTACCACCAAAGTTCACTTTGAAGCTCTTAAGGAAACCCTTGTAACCTAGGGCGACTGGACGTAGGCACCAAATCGATATTCCAAATCAGTATAAAACTCTTTGTATTATTTACTTATTGCATTTACTATATATATATATTGAAGAAGATCAAAGAGGAGATAAGGAGCAGGACAAGTGGAAACACCCCAAAGAAATGCAATAGTGTAGACAAAGGTTGGATAGATATGTTTTTTTTTTTTAATGTAGATAGTGCACATGAACATAGATAGAGGATAGAGGAGGTAAATGAGTGAAGAATTGTAATTGAAACATATTTGGAATTTAATAAAAGTTGTTAGTTCGACCAAAAAAAAAGGAAAAACCCAAGGGGGATTTATATCAATCAAGGATAATTGAGAGATTCCTTGATCGAGGTGATTTGTAGATCCATGTACATATTAGATATATGTGCATGGTAAGTCGCTTCTCTATCCTGCTTGGCTTGGCTGACTTGATTCCTTTCTTGTTTGGTCAGCAGATCTCGAATCTTTGACTTGATTCATTTTTGTACTGTCTACGTAGATTACTTCCTTTACGTAGATTACTTCCTTTTTGATTTCGTGGCCTGCGAAAATTGTGAGTAATGTATTAATTGTCTATTATCAAAATCAACTAACTCTAACAAGTTAGCAATTATATGTTACATTTTCAATAGACACGTAAATCATTTATGGCCTCACTTTTTTTTTCTTAGAGAAAATGAATTATTTGGACTTTATTATAGTAGGTTGGATCCTTTTTTTCTTTTTTAATTATATAGTTATTATATTCTATTTATTTCTCTTGGTCCACCTTTCATTTTCAATAACTAACTACGTGGTCATGGTGACTAAATTTTTGATAACCATACATTATTCCACCTATTTTCTCTAAGTATTCTAAAAATATAGCTAATAACCATATAATTTTTTTTAGAAGAATACATAGTTGTGTTTGAAGTAGGGGTAACGTAAAATTGTCTTTGTGTGATTTATATGTCATAAGTTCGAGCTGTAAAATTGTGTCTATGTGATTTATATGTCATAAGTTCGAATCATAAAATTGTCACTGTCTGATTTATATTAAAGAAAAATTACTCAGTTTATTTATACTTTTTTTTGAGGATCATCTACAATCTAATGTTGAACAAATTTTAGCAGAAAAATCTCTCCTCTTCAATATAATAGTGATGTTTAGATCAACTTGTACGTTAGCTATTGCTTCCTCGTATGTGTATTTGCTAAATCTATCCATCGAGGCTTAGACTGGTGAGAAGAAATTTCTAGAAGGCTTTTTTGTTTTTGGTATTAGAGTTTTATAGCTAGTAATTTTCCATGAATAGCATATTTGGAATTTCCATTTTTTTTATGTGTTTGTGAGACAGAGCTAGGATTTGAACTTAACGTGTTCTATATCTAGGATAGGCGATATTAGGTGTTAGTAATTGAGTTCTGAATTTAAAAATTTTGTACATATATTTACTAGATTTCTTAATTAGCACGAATACAGAGTTTGGACTAAAGTTACTGGTTCAGCGGAACTTGTAGGTAACCTTCTAGCTCCGCCCCTAATAGATCAAGACTTGTATATGGAGTTTTGGGTTGTTGTAGCAGCTGCAGGAGCAGGTTATGTAGCACAATGTTTGCAAAGTTCATCAGATGAAAAGGGCAACTTATTAGTAGATAACAAGAAGAATTTGTTGCATCAACTACGCGAAAAAGTGTGCCCTTTTCACATATTAGCTCGAAAAAGAGCTAAAAAGGAAGTCTCAGATGATGAAGAAGTTTTCAGATTCAGACATCTTAATCTTGATTCATCAGATTGCCTCGAGAAAGATTCATTTTGTCCATCCTCAGCAAAAGAATATACAAGTACCAGGAACAAAGATTCTGGTGGATCATTCAATACAACAGGTTCTAACTTCAAAAAGTTTATTTGGATTTAACGTATATATACTGACAGTGTAGAGAAATTTTACAGTATATGTGTTTATGATATGTTGTAGCGCGTAACATGCCTTATTTTCTAGGTTGTTGTTTGCTTGTATTTGTGGTTTGGAGTTATCTGTAGTTATGATCATTTAGGTGATGGTGTTGGTGTACATATCTGTTGTTTCTGCTTAGTTCTACTTATTGCACTTATTACCAGATCATGTGAGTCAAATGGCTTTCGGGAACAACCTCTCTACCTTCACGAGGTATTATAGGATTTGACTTAAAAATTGTCACTTTGTGAGTAGGATTCAACACGGGTGCAGCAATATTTTTGTAGAGTTCGAGCAACATAGGCCAAAACATAAAAGCAATTTAGTTACCTAAATGCAATGGCTCTATATAAGCCAAAACTAATGTTGCTCAGACTCTTTAACAAATGTGACTAGATGCGTGTCCGATCCTCCAAAAATGAATACGACATGTGTGTATGACAACGTTTTTGGAGAGTCCGAGCAACCAATTTAGTTACCTAATATGCCTTGTTTCTGTTTCTCCCTTGTCTTGATTCAAGCAGGGCTACCAAATGGAATGGCTTTATTCTATATGGGAATTGTTAGTGGCATGATGTCTGCTGTTATTGCAAACAGTAAAGAGATAGAAAAGGTGAATGAGAAGTTAAAATGGACCAAGAATTTAGTTCAGAAGTTAGAAAATGAGCTCAATGTGAAAGAGATTGCTAATGATGATTATGAGAATCCAAATCTATGTAGTCCCTCTATGTCAACTGTTGATGAACCAACCAGTCAAGCAGAGAAACACGAGTCGATGAGCGAAATTGAGGCAGAGCTTGAAGCTGAATTACAAAGGTTGGAAATCAGCTTGAAGGTTTCAACCTTTGAAAGAATATTTGATTGTGTTGAGGTAAGCCTGCATTTAGCTATACTTCTACTTTTTGACAAAAAATTCTTATTTTACTTCTGTGAGTAGTATCTCTGATTCATAAAAATTTAAAATTTTTGCAGCTAAATCCAGAAGATGAAATAAATGTGGTTCATGGAGACTTGAAACTAGATTGCCTCAATGTGCAGAGCCCTGATTCATCAGGATCAGATAGTGGAACTTGGATTGATCATTCTAAACCTGCCAACCATCCTGTTTCCCCGAGGGAGCTAAGCTCGCGTCTGCATGAGGTGATAGAATCCAGGCTAGAAGCTCGAATTAAGGAGCTCGAAGCAGCCCTTTATCATAGCCAAAATAGAGCTTGTTCATTGGAAACACAACAGAATCTCTCTCAAAAGGCCTGTGCATTGCGCGAATCAGAGTCCTCATGTTGGTATCATGAGGCTGATGAAGAGACCACCAGTATCAGGCATGGAAGTGAAAATGCTTTTGACACTAATACAACAACCCCTCCTTTTGATGGAGGATTGATTGATAGCCCAAACGAAGAACAGGGTGGCCTGGTGCACGAACGTAAGCAGCCTACCTTGATACAATTATTAAAGACAGAATCCATGGCTCTAACCCGTGAGCTACATGTCTCACGGAAACAACATTACCATTGCTCCAAAGTTCCCATTCATTGATAGACCAGATATGATGGGAAAATGATCATATCTATATTATGTTGTCTTCTGTTATTTTTTATGTTACATTGGTATCTTCTTACAACTCTTTTGAGTATAGAGACAGAATGTGCAGTGTACATGTAAAGATTGAAGAATTTTTTATAGATCAATAGACATTAGGGATAGGGTGTTATTCTGTATACTTGAGATGATGTATCATTTGTGCCATGGGGTTCAAGTTTCAACTGAATCCATCATTTTTTACACAAAACATAGATGTAAGGGAAACACATAGATTTCCATAAATACTATATTCTGAACTCATAATTTCAAAAGCACAACGAGTTCGATAGTAAAGAATATGAAAGTTAAACCATCATGTTCAAGTCATGGATTCACCTCTGGTCCAAGCCAGAGACGATGAGAAAGGCTGTACATGTGGAGAAAAACTTCATTTCCAGCTTAGTCTGCTTTTCTGAATCTAATGCAGAGAAGAGGAATAGTAGCTCAGATAGGCAAAAGCAAAAGTTCTGTCTTGTCAGCTTAACACATAAAGAAGCTCCAGAACAAGATGAGACAATGAAGAATCAAATGATTGTGGCGATTTCCACTCCATCTTCATTATAGATGTTAAGATCTGTTTACAGTGGAAGAAGTTTCTTGTGCTTAAAGTAAATCATGAAAGCAATGTATAAGACCAAACAAAAGATTCCAGTGATGATAATAGTCCAGTTAAACCCATCCGGATCGTCAAAAACTGTGGTTTTCAAGTTCATTCCAAATACTGCAGTTACCATAGCAAATATTGTTGCCACAAAAGTGGCAGCTGTTAGAAGCAACTCAAATTGTATTAGCTGATTCTGGACATTGGCCTGTAACATAATAAAATTTTGAGTGAGTTTCATGAACATTACAGTGTAGATACGTGTGTCTTTAATGTATATGAAAAGTTATGCTACAACAAAAGACATCAAGAAAAAAGGGAACATTAAAAGATTATCCGCAAGTTAGTCTTACAAGTTTTATATTGATCAGATCCTCTGTATCATCAATATATTCTTTAAGCTGCAACATATGAGAGAACAAACGTGAGAATACAAATTCATCAGTTGGAATGTTGAATCAAATTAATTAGGAGCTCGAGTGTTAGTCATCACTCATCACTATTAATCAAATTTAATAAGAGGCCATGCATTATGAGTTATGGGAGAAAATCTTGGTGTATGGACTATTTGACTCTTCAATGGATGATTTTGAAGGGATTAAATCATCGATGCTATTAGTTAGGGGTCTCTGTAGTCTGCAGTATCTTTACCAGAATAATTCACACATTGAAAAGTTTAAAACCAATAAATAGGGGTAGATTAAGCAACTAAACAACATACAACCTAAAGGCAAGGAAGTGAATGACGCACCCAAGGTTGTACAGAAATGTTAGTATCAAACAGTAATATAAGATCTACTTAGTATACCCCCTTAATATTAATCAAAAGCTGGATTACTCCCATGATTCTCCCCTTGTCCGTAAACCAGAACCCGAGGCTATATTTTAGCAAATAATCCTTCCGTCTCAATATATTTGTCTCACTTTCCTTTAGTCTGTTTCAAAAGAATGTCTGTTTCCTTCTTTTTTGGCAACTTTTTGACTCTAACTTTCCACATGGCACGTTTAAGACCACAAGATTAAAGGACATTTTGGTCATTCTACATATCTTTAGTTGAAGACCACAAGATTCTTCTAGACTTTCTTAAAATCTATGTCAACTCAAAACCAAACAAAAAAATAGCAGCGGAGGAAGTAAATCTTAAGATTATTTGGTAAGAATCGTAATCCAACTCTACTTGCATTTCTTGAATCTATCAGGGAAGGAGTTCAGTTCATTCTAATTTAATTATTTTTGCAGTATAAATATAAGATTTTCTGGATATGAAGAAGAAAAGCTATTAATATAAGAATCTCTTACTGATGACAACTTGTTCAGAGCGCTGTCAATGACCACAAAATATGTTTCAAGCAACATTTCAAGCTGATCAATATTTTCTTGACAATTAGATGAAGCTGAAATGCTTCCGTGTTTGCTTGAGCTCAAATTACTGAATGCCCGTTGCAACTTATGCATCCCAGTAGTTGATGATGCAGGTGATACTGGAGCAGATCTTGCTGCTCCTCTAATTTTTCCATATATATCCGCTTGATCATATGAATCATTATTTAAATAATCCTCCTTCCTCTGTTTCTTCTCTGTTAAGTACATCTCAGCCATGTCACCATCATCATCCATTAGATGTTCTATTTCATCACATACCTGAACGTTTTTCAATAAGTAATAATTTTATTAAGGTACAGAATACGTATAAGAGGAAGACATATGTGACTCGTATTCAACTAATACAGGTATTGGAGATCTGCATGCCTGAACATTTGTTTAAAAGCTTAAGTGGTCTGACAGATAATGAAGCAGTATCAGACTACATACAATCATACCTTTTGGACGCGCTGAGTCAAGGCAAGCAATTGACCTTTCAATCTACGAACTCGTTCCAGATTTAGAGTGTTAATAGATGACGCTAGTTCATCAAGCACGGGGTATACTTCCAGTTCTAATTCTTTCACCTGTTTGATTTAGAAAGACATGAAAAAGAAGTTTTGATTGAGACGAGAAAATATATACGTTTAATCATGAGAATTACTGCATTTTGTTTGAGGTACTGGATACAGAGAGACAAACATGTCGAAGTGCATCATATTTAGGCCAACACATCACATCATGATGATGATAAAACTGAGTAATAAACAAAACAGATGGGATTTACTAACATCCAAGAGCAATTGATGCAAAGCACCTTGAATCCATTTTTAGTTAACCAACATAGAACCATAAAAGCTCAACTTAAAATGGATCAAGCTGCAACTAAGCTTTAAGATACCGGGCTTGCCTAGTGCGGTTACCTCTCCTATGTGGTTTGTGAGCTATTGCATAGGAGCGGGGGTTTTACCCTGTGCGCACCCAAAGGGTAGCGGCTGCAGGTTTCCCTTGTCATAAAAAATATATATATATATGTATATATATTCTATTACTCCTATCTGCAGTTCCTTTTTTTTAATACACCTGTGGTGTCCAGGAAAGCTTACGCGCCATGAACTAATTCCACGGGATACCTCCCACCAACAATAGGTACTACCAGGTAACTTTTCCCTCCAAGGTTCGGACAGATGTAAAGGTTTGAACCTGAGACATCATGGTCCTCAACACACTTAATTGACTACTAGACTTAAGATATTTATCACATTATGCAATAATGGCACACATATTGGAGCTAGTATATTATGCCTACAATGGACAGCAAATATTCTAGTCTATTACACAAAAGAGTTATCAATCTGCCACCAAAAGAGTCTTTTGCATACCTGAGCATCAAGAGACAAGCAAGTTAGCTCCAAAACAAGCTCAAGGGCTCTGAACTCGAAAGGAAGACCATCTGAATAAAAAAACACCACTCATTATGAAAAAAAACTGAAATTTCTTCTATAGAGAGTTCACCGTTTATCAAAAGAAACATCACACCAGGGTAAAATAGGTTCAAACAGAGGGGAGGGGAGGGGACATAGAGGATTCATCGAACAGACGCCAACAAGTTTGGGATGGTGTACTAGCTGTTGCATTGAAAGACATATGACATCATGCTAAATGAATGCAAAGAACAGAGAACGTTTCAGAATCACTGTAATTACATGCATCCCTCAAACAACAAAAACACCATCGGTTGCTGAACATGCTCAAGTGTCAGTTCATTTATACTAGAGGGGATATCATCCATTGCTTCTAATAGCTATAGATACTACTTTTATGGATACATAAAGAACTGCAGATGCTAAGTACAGAAGTTTGATTAAATTAAAGTCAAAGACGTAAGACAGGCTGTTCTTACAAAGCTCAGGCAAGGTGGAACAAAATTTAAGGCTAATTTTTATATTTCGTTCTGCAATTTAGTAGGTCAAAGTAGCATTTGGCAGAAGCAACATTAAGTGCATGCTACATGGAAAAAAACAGCTGGATAACATAACTGTTATAACAAGCTTGGAACTCAATACCTTGAATCTTTATCAATTTCTTTTCCAATATCTCCTTTCAATTGAGGTCTTTATATATCCAAATTCACTGTTAAGAAAATATCATGGCTACACAACATAAAAGTTTCCAGAATTAAGCCATTACCAATAGTGAGAAATATCCCCAACTTCTAGCATCATCCAAGTTTTCCATTTTTTACTTTAATAATTGTTCTTATGCAGACTCAGGAATGGATTTAGATGCTAATTGCCATGCAAAAGAGGAACCAAGAACTATTTCCAAGACTTCTTGATCTCTCTTTCTGTATAGATAAGTTCAGAAGTTTTGTTATGCTTATACAACCATAATGCCATTCATAGATAAAACCAGATACAAATATTAAAATAAGAAAACCAACATCACAGAGTTTGCTCCCCACATAGAATGCCACAAGCTTTGACCTACTCAACTGTTTCCGTTGAGGGGGACGAAGAGGTGGATCCAATCAATTTCAGCAATTCATGCTGCATTTTCTTGTGTTATGATTTAGAATTACATGGATCTGATTCAGACATAGACAGAACAACATTCAACAATCATGCCTCAATCTCAAACAATTCCAATACAGATGCCTTGAAAAAATAGGCTTTCTGCATTAAGCACTTTGCTAATAAAATTGTGCCAATCCAACTCTGGAAAATATAGCCTCTGTGCGATTTGTTTGTCTCTTTTGCCTTTCCAAGAGTGTGACAGGTTTTCTATGAGAAGTCGTCTTTCACTTCTCCTTTTAACCCTGGAATGCAGAACCATAAGTGCATCATATTTTCCAGATAGCATCTGAAACTTTTAAGTTCTACTTTCAATACATTAATGGTTATCTCACTATTGAACTTGGTCTAGCTGGACTAAAGAAGTCACAGTTAACAGTTAAACTGGCATGGAGGGCGGAATAGTTAATTTTTAGTCAACATTACGATCCATTGGTGCAAGACAATTTAAACAAAAAAGAGATAACCTAACAATAAGCTAGATTGCATAGAACAGGAGCATCTACTGGCTTTCAACTCTTAGACAGAAACTAGCTTTCACTGGTTTTCATTGCTTTTGAGAAAAAACCAAGCTTTATGCAGAAAAATAAATAGAAATGGATTTACCCGGCTGATCTCTATTTATCTGAAGGCGTTTACACAATTCAGACTCGTATTGCAGTACACAAGCATCCAAAGAATTCATCAGTATAACCTCATCAGCTGTGATGACACATCTGATCTGTTCAAGGTTTACCACAATAGCTTGCTCTCGTCCTAATATTGTGGAGGGATAGATAAACTTAGGGTCCAAAAGCCGGAGATCCCTGGCTGGCAAAGAACAATGTCTCATAACGGTAGCCTTATCCAATTCCAAAATTTTTGAATTGCCATGCTCATCAATCTTTATCCAAGAGCGACTCCCATGACCTTGGCCTCTCCTCTTAATACCAGGTAGACCAGACCCATGAAAGTTGTTGTTTGCCTGTACATCTGAATAAAACCTAGTAGATGTAGATTCTGGAAAATCAGAAGGACCATTTTCTTCTGCCATTTGCTTTCACTTTCTGTGAGTTAGGAACAAACCTCAGAAACAAAGATTTCAGCATTGATCAAAGCCCCAAGTACTTACTCCAACTGCAGCACTGTTGCTTTTAGCAAAGCGTTAGTGTTAGCAACTGTAGTAGCTTTTCTTATTATGGTTCTTATTACTTTTAAGTTAAAATCTTCTACTCCTGCAAAATAAATTGTGAACAGAAGAACCACATAATCAAATAGATGTAACTTGTCAAAAAAACAAAATAAGTAAATGTAATTTTCACTATAGCTTCATCTAGACAGCAAAAGGCTTAAGTTACATAAGAGCCTCAGAAGAAAAGTTATGAACACATTGATCCTGAAACACACTCCCAAACGGCTACTAGAAAATGTGACAAACATGTGGTTTTTGGTCCACTCTTAATCAGAAACATTTTCTCCTTGATTTTCATCCTTCTACAATCCTCATCAAAATAATTTCCTCACGTCTAAGCATAGGCCAAAATCAGGGACAAGCAAAACCCTATTTCAACATCAATCTTCTTTTGCATTTGTATGCAAGGAGATTTAGAATTAGGAATTAACAAGAGGAGTCTGATGTCATGGTTTCATAGGCTCCAAACATTTTATGTATGTTGCTATCCCAGTTCCACAATAAGAATGTATGTTGTAAGCATAATATGAATCCACTCTGAAAGCAAATCCTATTCATGCAACCCCAGATCAAAAGTAGCATGGAAACTCCTTCCAACATCAAAAAAGATTTAAACACTCAGTATAAAAAGGAAGAGATAGAGGATATTCAAATAGGAGGTTATAACTTGCACTAAGTGTAAATTATCCAAGCAGTTAAGTGAGTTATTGATCCAAAACCAAATTCCAGAATAAGAAGGTACCACAAGTGTAAAATAAATGCAAGTTTGCATGTTAACGAAACGTGGAACCGTAGATCAACATCAATCATTTTTCGGATTCATTGCTTTAGTTCTCATATTTGGTAAATCGTAAGTCAACTTAAAGATACATCACTAATTTTTCAGATTCTTTGTTTTAGTTCTCATTTTTGGTAAGTTCAACTTACAAAGATGTGAATTGCTGCTATGGATTATCTGATATTGAATAAAAGTGTATCGTCTCTTCCAGAACTAGTTTTGTCCCATCTGCTAGAGCTTGAAAAGTCCTAAAGGGCCAGCATATTCAGGTCATTTTTGGCCACGCTTCCTTATGTCTAGTATTTAGACAAATTTGACAAAACTAGATTCACCTTATTGCATTGAAATCCAGGATAGTACTCCCTCCGTTTCAAATTGTTTGTTCAGGGGGTTATAGAATGTAAAGAAGATTTTTTATTTTTGTGGTCTTAAACTAAATATATGTAGAAAGTATCAAAATGTCTTTTAAGCATGGAAACTCAATTTCAACATAATGAAAACAAACAAACATAAAAAAAAAAACCCTTACAAACTCAACAGTAATTCATAAGAAATCCATAACCATGTCAAAATTCACAAACCAGTAAGCAAATTTTTTGCTACCAAGGGGACATTTACAACAAACCTTCACAGATACCAGCTCAATTAAAGAGAGCAATATGGTAAAATAGCCACGGAGAGAACAAAATGAACAAAGTTTGAATCTTGACACTTAAAAAATTAACAGCATATCACCTAGTAACCAAATATTCAGAATAGAAAACTACGATACATCCTATGGCATTGAAATCTGGTAACAGTAAGATAGTCACGCTACTACCACTCAGTTTTCATCTAACCAAATATCAAAATAGCATGGAAACTCAATTCCGACATTTCTTTTTTTTAAAAAAAAAAAGGAACCTTAACAAACTCAACACTATTCCACAAGAAAACAATAACCATGTCAAAATTCAAAAACCAGTTAGCAAAATTTTATTTTCCTATCTCACACTACCTAAGGGACATCCAAAAACAAACTCGCATAGATACCAGCTCAACTAAGCACCCACTGGCGTATCCTGGTAGTCAATGAAGAGGATGACAACCATCAGGTCTCACATTCAAATCCCAGCAAAGACAAAAAACACTAGGTAATTTATTTTCATCTATCCTGCCTCAATGAACAAAGTCACCTCATACCCATTGTTGGTAGGCGTTGACAGGTATCCCATTGAATTGCTCGAGGTGAGCACGGGACAACCACAGTTATCAAAAAAAAAAAAATACATATACCAGCTCAACTAAACAGAAACAATACACTAAAACAGCTGAGAACAGAACAAAAAAGCATAAAGTTCGAATCTTGACACTCCAAATCAACAGAATAACCCCAAATTTAAACCAAAAACAAATTACAAACTCACCAACTACAGAGAACTAAACAGTATGAAAACTGAACCCCGCATCAAGTCAAATCAAGAACTCAAACCACACTAAGAAAAAGCTCATACCTTCACCAGAAAACCATAAAAAGGCCTTTGGGCTTAAAAGGGTCTCTGCAGCAATGAATCCAAGAACAAAAACACGTCTTACACAGTGCAGATTTGCAGTAAATTAAATTAGGGAAAAGAAGAAAGAAAGGGTCCTAGGAATCAGGATGAATCAATTATAGTATCAAAATCCCCAGACCACGTAACCTTAATCTAAGTAGTCTATTTCTGGAAAAAGAGATAATAGTTAAAAACACATTTAAACATATAATTTTTATAAGAAAGCATATTTTAACTATTAATTGTTTATTTTTTATATAATTTTTTTAAAAAATAAAGAGTGAATAATTAATAATTAATTTGACAAGTCATTCACAATAATTAAAATATAAAACTCAAATAATAATTTAAATATGCAACTCTGGAATAATTTAAATGTATTTATTATGCTTTTACAAAAATTAATAAATGTTCTCACTAAAATTTTTTAAGGAGACATGTGGAAAGATTACAAAGATGAAGAAAATGAAGAGATTAATATACATGGATTTAGAAGTTTTTTTTTTGGTTTGAAGTAATTTAATAATTGTATTACTATATATTTGATATCATCAATCAAATTTTACATTGATTATAGAGTGATTATATCAAAATATTAATTTTTAATCTAACCACAATTAAACCACTCCTAAATGTTGTTTTCTTGAAAGTATATACGTTAAACTTTTTTTAATACTTTTTTACTTTACTAATATTTAATAGAGCAACTTTCACATATAGCAAACAAAAAAATTATATTTGTATGCTATAGCAAAGTTTGCATAATTACGCTCCATAGCAAACATAAAACTGTATAATTCGCTATACATATACAATTGTATCATTCGCTGGCCTAAATTGTATAATTCGCTGACCTATTTCGCTGCAATTGTATAATTCGCTATCCTATTTCACTGCGATTGTATAATGCACAATTATATAATTCGCTGCAATATTTTTATAAAATTTGCTTTGCATACAGTTGAATCGAATTAAAATGAATGTATATTGCATAATTATAAATGTATAGCAAGAAGATATATATTTTTCTCTCGCTTTATACAAAACAGAAACACAATATATACACTTGTTGTATAAAGCTAGAGAAAATTGTATTTCACTGCAATTGTATAATTCACAATTGTATAATTTGTTGGCCTTTTTCTCTGCAATATTTGAAGTAAAATGTTTGTAAATTGTATAATTAAGTGTATAACACGAAGATATATATTTTTACATGTGTATATACAATTTTCTCTCGCTTTATACAAAACAGAAACAAAATTTATACACATTTGTGTATAAAGCGAGAGAGGCAAGCGAAAACGAAAAGTAGCGAGTGAGATTTTTGGGGGAGAGACGCCTGGCAAACTTTAGCAAACGTTTGCTATGGAGCACAATTAAATCAAAACCTAACTACTCCATTTATTTTAGGTTATTAGTTTGCTATTATATACAATTTTTCCTATTTAATATTATTAAGTAAATATTTGACGCTTCCAACGAAATTTTTTATTTTGACAAATATGTGCAAATTCTTAATTTTCTTTATCTTTCTCCACATGTTTTATTATTGTCCTTACTTCTTGGCCTTCCAGGCAAAGGGGATAATTGATTGATTGCACTTTATTTTATTTTTTATACCAATATACATGCATCTTATTTACCATATGAAAATTTTGAATATCATGAATAATAATCTTTTTCATATGTATATTCCTTTGAATTCTCTTTTTTTTTTTTTTTTTGGATTGTGAAATAAAAGAGCTTGGCACTGCATTGGGCTGCAGGCTTTTAAAAAAATCCAAAATTTGTCTAGATTTAGAATATGATATACATATTTGACCATTTCTAGAATGCCCTATCAAACTGATTTTCATAATATTCATTGTTTTATTGTATGGTATAGTGGAAAATTGGAACTCGATTGGTTTTGTCATCACAGTTTTTTTCATTAAAATTAAGGTTTGTTTTATAAAACATACTTGACTAATAATAACTGTAAAAACCTAATATAATGATAGTACGATAATAGTTGAATGATAATTAATGATGATCGTTATGTATTGTAGATATTGAAATTTTACTAGGCAAATAACCTTTGTAATTTGCTTACTGAAGTAATCTATAATAAATTTGATTTTTTTTGTATTTTCCTGCTTGGTTTCAACTTTAGACAGAGTCAATTGCTGCAGAAAGGAAAAAGAAAGCATCCTCAATAAATAGTTATATTGTGAAATATTTGGATTCCGCAACGGCTCTTTTGTATATTCTTTTAATAAACTTTCACCTCACGAACTAACTTATCGCGTTAAAGTAACCACAATAATGACAATTTTCCAACATGGTATTAGATTATCCCACATATGTTGTGTTATCTATGTTGACAAGCACGAGCGTGCAGGGAGGTGTCGAGTTATCCCACATCGATGGTACTCGCAGGATATTGGATCCTGGGCAGGCAAGTAGGTGTCAAGTTGTCCCACATCAATGGCACCTTTTGACCTACCCACACCTCGTAAGCTAGCTTTTGAAATTAAGTTAAAAGGCGAGTTCACTTCTTAAAAATCTCTATCAGAAAAAACAAAGTCAGGAATCAGCCACATGTTCCCAATGGAACACATTCAATTCATGGACCACCTATAATTGCAACCAACAAACACTTGTTTGTCTCCCTCAACAACACAATGATGCAATCATACAACATGGTCCCAGAACATAAAGCCTCTAAAATAAAAAATGAGTGCCTTGATTGCATAGCACCTCAGACACTTCCAATATACAGAAATCATGATGGATAAAGATTTGACTAAATGCAAGATATGTACAGTACATAAAGGATTATCGGAAACAGCCTCTCTTACCCTACAAAGGTAGAGTAAGGTTTGCGACTACTGGGATTACACCGAGTGCCTTGTTGTAGTAGTAACATATTAAGGATCAAAAGGGTTCCAAAAGTTAGGAGGGCAATGATATCATTCAAGAACAATTCATTCCTCTGAATTTCCTTAAAAGAATCCGTAAATGTACATACAGAACTCTTCTTTAGTCCAGTTTCCCTCAAGGTGTGCACAAGTCGATACATATATCTCACTCTTAAAGAGAGGAATCAAAGAAACAAAAATGGAAATGGGTAGGTTCTTGCTGCTTTTGCACGGTGTGATCTGTGATATCCTCTTCCACCGGAAACCCTGTGGTATCAATCACAGCAAGGGAGAAGCATTGGGGTTTATGACAATATGCTTGAGAGGGTGAGCAACATCGGTGCCTCCAGCGTGCTTGACAAACTCGGCTGGTGAGTGAAAACTTCCATGACAGACGCACATAATTCTTACCTCCTCCCCTTTGCTGTACCTGTATAGTATTCCGTCTACTCTTTTACCATTAGGACCATCTCCTTTAGTGAAAACGCATGGCATGTTTTCTAATGTGTTTGTTCCAGTTTCCTTCTCCTTTGCCCGACTTTTTGCTGCCTCGAGCTTCTTAGATGGACTGTCCATATCACCTGCTGACATTCTGCTTCCGGTCTCTCTCATTTTTGACCCAGACGAACCCATATCTTGACTTCCCCCTCCTTGTAATGAGTGGATACTGGCCGGGCTTAGCTCGCCAGACCCTGCAGCCGGGGTTCATCATGGTTCTAAAATTATGGTGGAAACGATAAACAGAAGAATGATAAAAAGCAGACCATATACAACATCTTTTCATTCTTTCCATTACACAGTACACTCCAAAAACATGTTAAGGTCATATCACCAACTACAGAAGTGATGGTTAAACCATATTACAACCTGAAAAATTATTACACTATTGGACGATTAAGGTGCTCAAAATTATCAACCACAAGGAAATGATTACAGACAATCTAATTAAAAAAGGAACTTCTTCAACCAGATCAGATGATCTAATATTCTTTACAGACAATCAATACGTGCATATTTCACAAATGCACTTCACTCAAGTAGTGTACAATCAAAAGCATATTTAACGCTCTTGACTAAACCAACCATTTAATCATGCGAACTAATGTAACAACGGCAAACATCTGAGGTCAGCAAACTAGGATAATAGGACAAGAGCAGATGCACTAAATTTCAAATTTTTAATATCCACCATGTTGCCGATTTCAGGATGCGTGAAAGAGGATTCAGATCTAGTCCATTAAAGAATATCTATCAAGAATCACTAACACCTCTATAGGATATCCAATTCTAGTAAACAATTCTTTATCAAAGAAGTATAAGCCTGGAAGGTTAGTGTTCTACATCTTGCACGGACCAGGGGCAGAGGAGATATCCAAAAAGTGAACGATGACAACTCATGAAGAATATGGATATAATTTATCTCATATGGAGATAGCGGCAGAGACGTGCATGGACATCAGGGAGTAGAGTGTGACAAGCAAAAGGCGCATCCAACAGAAACTCCTATCTAACAATAAAGGTTCATATCACATATGCATCAACTAGCTTGTCAAATTTAGTAATTTACATCTATGGGGTATTCAAGAAATTGTGATACAGCGAGCCAAAGCAGCTGCATCAAGAGCAGCAGACAGATCTCCCTCAACCCTAATCCATTTTATCACAAGGACCACAACCAAAAAGGTAAAGACTAGAGAGACGGAGACAATCTTGACAGCCCAATAGGTAATTCACAAAGAAGACTTCAGTGAAAAGGTTGTTGCTTACCAAAAGTAGCACGGATAGAGCAAGCATTTGAAGCCATGACGTCTAAAATTCATCAGGCTTTAATCACACATAACTAACTCCTTGGATGAGGAAAAGGAAAATATACCATCTAGAAAGATCTGTTAGTTTGATTAATCCTACCACTAAATCAATTGAGACTAGAACACTTTCAAGTAGGTAGTTATAAGTTGAGAATGTCGAAAGTTCACGGGAAGTTGGCACCATATAAACCAATGTTGCTCAGACTATTTAAAAAATGTCAATAGGTGTGCCTCAGATTCTCCAAAAATAGCGCGTGTTTGGTGAATCCGACACAAGTGCAGCATCGAAGGTGAAGACTTTGCGCAACATGGACATAGACATAGCGGTATTTATCCCAAGGGGTCCTTTATTTTATCATCCAAAAAAAAATGTGCCGCCAGCAATTAAATGATCTAGTTTGGTTTCCAAGTCTACAGCTAATAACTGTCCAGCTTCATTATCCTTGCTGTTTAATTGGAAGTAAAG